ATATATACATACATATATATACATATATATATATATATATATATATAGTATGCGAAAATTATAAATATGAGAAATAAAGACAAGAAAGTAATATATACTTGTGTATTGCTACTAACGTCACAATGCAGAACAACCAGATTTCTGGAGTTTTGCCTCCCCCTACAGGTAATCACCCCTTATTACATCAAGATCTAGGCAGTATGTTTTTGAAAATGGTCATACTAACATCATGCATTTTTTATTTTATGCATTATATTATACAGTTTAGTCCAAGTTGTCTTACAACATGATATTTTAAATAGAATTTTCATTTTTGGGTGAACTATCCCTTTAAACGCCACAAATCCCATTTTATCAAAGACGATGACATATAATCCACTGCAGTCAACTAAGCCATGGTTTTGCCCAAATGTAAAGCATGTAACAATAGATAAATATCCTTCATATATATATATTTTTTAATGATGGCCTCTTACAATATACTACTGTCTAAACAATCACATCACTGAAAACGTCAAATATAGACTCCCAATCCTAGAAATGACTGAAACATCACTGATAACAGAATGTATAGTCTAGACTCCAGATGCAAAGCTAACTGAATATAAGATTATTTTAAATCACTGAAGAGGAATTTGGAGTGTAAAGAACAGGGACTTAAAAACTCTTTTTTTTTCTACTTTTAGGATAATAGGGAGAGATTTAGGGCCTAAATATTCCACGAGAGCAGAAACAGGATACTTCTTATCATAAAGAAAACTACGAAATGACACGCTTGTCCATTCAGACAAAAGCATCTGATTTAAAGGGGTCATATGATGCGATTTCAATTTTTCCTTTCTCTTTGGAGTGTTACAAGCTCTTGGTGCATAAAGAAGATCTGTAAAGTTGCAAAGATTAAAGTCTCAAATCCAAAGAGATATCTTGTTAGACCGATGAGCTTTGTAAAAATCGACACGTTTCAGAAAGGCGGGGCATAGAGGAGAAACAATAATGTACAGTATGTGGAAAATAGTGTTTTTTTAACCTTAAACCGCATAAACATTTAATTACACCAAATACACAAAATAATGTTCTTTTTAGCAACATCATATGACCCCTTTAAGGAAAAGATCACTGGGATACAGGACACTGACAAAAAAAAAAGCTTAAAATTGTTAAACATAAGATAGATTTGGAACCTCTTAAGTTTATTCCCTCATGCGAACATGTAAGCAGTTGGCCACTATTAAGGCATGTTGTACTACAGCACACAGTTATGTATGACAAGTAGTGGAAAGAATTCCTTCTGGGGGGACGTTCGGCAGACGTTCTCTCTTGTCCAGATTAGAGGTCTCAGGATTCCTGCCTTTGCACACTGCCCACATCACGCCTGTGAAACCTCATATCCTCACACCAGCCTACAGGGGGCTAAACAGCTTATTTGGCAGAGCTAAACCAGGAACCTTCATTTGCTTGCCAACCATGTATACAGGTGTGATTCAGACATACTTGTCTTATGTGAGAGGATTGGTTATCACAAATGTAAATAAAAACGGAAATAAATATATGTAGCATGTAAAACTCATCTGTGAAAATACAGACACATCACCCACACACTGCACAACAGACAGTAGCAGTCACAAAGCCTTCTCTCACCAAAGCCCTCTAGTTCTCAAGCACAGACAGATAGCTGTAATGTTTCATTTCAAGGTGGCATTTCTCTAATGCTCAGCAGAACAACAGTTTTTTTGTTCATCTTCGTAGAATATTTAGTAGCCTAGATTGCGATGGACCTGAATGACTCCACTTCTACTTGACTTACTGTCATTTCAAATACCATAATAGGGTTTGTTAAATGTTTTGACATTTGATTGCATTTTAAATCACAGATGGGATAACCTCTCGTTTTAAAAAGACTACTCACATATACCAAGGTCTAGTTCCACTCAGTGACTGATTTGATGTGGAAAAGGGTAGATGACATGATATCCAAGCAGTGTGACTTGCTACAATAACTTTAAAACCAAATTTTAGATTAAAAACACATTTTATAACTATTATGCATGCAGTTTCAAATTATTTGTCACACCACACAAACATTTAAAATGAAGGGAAAAAATGTAATTAAAATGGGTGAGAAAGATTAATAATGGCATTTATGGAACCAAATATATTATAAATCATTTTCTTTTATTGATGCGTGACCGCTTCCATCATTTTAAAATCACTTTGACCCAGAAACACAAGCTTTATGCACTCAAGTAAACAGGAAGGTTTTAGCTTTCTAATTATTTTCTAATGGCTAGTATTCTTCTATTCCAAACCACTGCAGAGACATAATCATTTTGCTGGCTGCAATAAACCCTTGAGAAAATGAACACTAATGACTGCAAAGAATGTTTTATTATTTAACAGCATTAGAGGATTTATTCAAACAAACTAAACAGTCAAAATTTCAGAATCATTAAATGGGTCATATGATGTTGCTAAAAAGAACATTATTTTGTGTATTTGGTGTAATGAAATGTGTTTATGCGGTTTAAGGTTCAAAAAACACATTTAGGGATGCACCGAATATTCGGCAACTGAAATTATTCGGCCGAAAATAGCAAAAAAATCTCTTTCGGTGTTTGGCCAAATAAGCGAAAAGGCTGAATAATATGAACCGAACAATGACGAATGGATTATAATGACTGTATAAGTCATTATAATCCGTAATTATGTCCCCACTGGATGCAACAAATGCCTCGTTTATAATGGGTTTGAATGTTTTTGTCTCGTCACTCCGGCCGGACAGGGCATCACAGTATGGTAAGGGGCGTAACATTTCCGTCACACGCTTGAGGTATTCGGCCAATCACAACGCACTGGATAGCTGGCCAATCACACTGCAAAAAATGGCTTATCTTATTTAGACACGGCGTGCTAGAATGAGCGGCGGCGGGCTAGAGTGAGTGGAGGCCGGCGGGCCTGAGTGAGAGGCAGCGGGCGGGCTTGAGAACGGCGCGGTCGGCAGATTCGACAAAGGAGCAGCCGGCGGGCTTGCGGCAACCACATGTGACGACACCGGGCTGGACTCCGCTTCGTCCACAGTGAAAGCCGATCCGGCGATACACAGCGCGAAGTTGATGTATTTCCTCAGCGACCAGCACGGATCAGCT